GAAGCAGAAGAGACAGAGCAGGTAATTCAAGGGGCAAGTCACCTGTTTGCAATGCTTGCGTCCACAGGTGACTACAGTCTTGTCAAGAACCCCAGGTCCGGACTGCACCACGTCCTTAAAACAGGACGAGACAGACTTTTGTGTGCCGCAGCCTCTTCAAGGCGCTTGTGCAGGCACAGGAGGTGGATTTTGGGCAAGTTCAGGTTTGTTTAACTTGTCAATCAGTCAGCGAAGGCCTGCTGAATGATAAGTGGGCATCCAAACCGAGTCCAATTTGACTGCGTCATCCATAAGCGGGGGGAAACTCTCTGAAGCAGTCAGGCCATTCAGGCCCGCAGTCTTGCTCAGGGTAGACTTGCCAGTGAAACGCACAGTTTTGCTCAAGGTGGACCTGCCGGTGAAACAGGCAAGCAGGTCCAGCAGGAGAATGCAGGACTCAGATCCCCACGTGTGAAAACAAGTGCTCTGCTGTGCATATGCATCTTTCCGTAAAGAGATCATGTTTTAAAGGAGGATGTATCCGTGTTAGACATTCAAAATCCCCTGATACTGTAACATTTTGCTTGGATGCCTTGTTATCTTGATAGGGTGCACATGGGGGTCTCACAAAATTGCGGGTACCTTTGTGGAGGGTATAATAAGGATCATACATTTGGGGTCTTTCTAAGTTGGGGTCACCGTTTTCATGGAAGCTACCGGGTACCGCGTTGAACTGCTTGCCAGTCCTAGCCTCCCGGCAGCGCTGGCAGCGCCTTTGGTGGCTTTGGCTGTGAGGCCATGGACAGTGCAAAGTCTGAAATGACTAGTATAGTGGGGGTCCCTTTTAAAGGGCGTATATGGGGATATAGTGGAAAATAAAATAAAAACTACTATAGTATATCCTACCACAGAGCAACTGACAACCGATATGTTGGAGGGGTTGTTGACATTCTGGTCCCCTTGACGGTTGCATAAATATGAGGTGCCGTATCGTTCAAGGAAACTTTAACAGACCGTAAAATGTGTTCCCAACATTAGGGTCCCATCTGCGTACCTCGAAATATCAGGTGCCGTCGTAATATAATCTGTGATTTTAAGAGATCAGAAGTTTAACAACTCTCCCAGATACCCAGCAGCTTCGGCTAAGGCAGCGATGCAAGTCGCTGGCAAGACGGGCGACCGTCTTCATCGACGGAGTCGGCCTGGCTTTTCTTAACGTCTGGTTATATAGGGTTACCTAGGTTTGATACGGGGGGTTTATATTATAGATATATGGACAAGAATGGAACCTACCACATCATAATGGAACATACTGGATGAAGGGACGACTTGTTGCAAGCAGTCTCCGGACTTTATGTCATGTGAGGAAGAGGGGGCATGAAGCTTCAGAGCCACTGTGCCCATGTGAAAGTATTTTCCGTATTCTTGTAGTCGTCGTGAGAGACCCTCCCTAACCCTAAGCCTAAGTCCTAAGTCCTAAACCCTAAAAACCCTAAACCCAAAATCCTAAAACGGAAGAATTCTCGTGCTCTGGCCAAGCTTCGCGCCAGGAAGCTGGAACAACAGGCCTGCAGGCCGCGGGATGGAGCCAAGCTCTTTCAGAATAAGGGATAGTAATAGTAATAGATAGTGACAATAGTATAAGAAAAATAGAACAATAATAGTAATTTTGAACAAAAAAGTAGTAGTAACAGTGATGATAGGAGTAATAATTACAGTAGTAGCATCGACCTTGAAGGTGTCCTAGAAAACATCCTGGTTTAGAGATCTCTGAGTTGCCTCAGTTCCGCGCCTTTGCAGGGGTGCAGCTGCCCTTGTCTAGCACTTGCAGGTGCGGGAGCGCCTGGAGAAGCATCCGGAGATCCAGATTCTCAGCTTGGATGCTGACAAGCGCAAGGCCCAATGCTGCTGACACATATTTTGACAGGCGAGCAGTTGAACATGATTTGAACATTCGACTAATCCTGGAGAGTGCGGTGGGTTGCAGGAGGTGGTAAGGTATGAGAGGCACCAGCATGTGGTCGTGGACAACCTAAGCCATTTGGAGTACAGCACCCTGGTGCGAGGATGAGGATGCTCGCCGCGAAGCGCTTCAAACAGCAGATGCTGCAGTGCGCCCTGGGGCCATGAGGGTGATAAAGGGTTACCTCGCTGCGTAGTTCTGCTTTGCAGGAGGCGCACTTGGCTTTCCAAAGATAGAGAAGAGCATCCAAAATCCGATATTGCCGTGACAAGCCTTCGATAGTTGCAGCTACATGGGCGAATTAATTTATGGGAGGGTTTTGGGTGCCTGGTCAAAGAAGCATCGAAGCTGAAATTTCTAAGTCCAAAGATGCGGCGATGCAACACGTGTTGTACAAGAGCAGAGGGAATCCAGGCTTTTCCTGTCAGCACCCGAGATGTAGAGGGATTGTTGTTTCCTGCAAAGTCCCGCGAGGTCAGGCTTCCTGATAAAGCCTCAACCCCCCGCCACACATGGTGTGGCTGTTTCTGTGCCAGGTCCTGTGCCTGCCTGATGATGCAGCCAGGGCAGCAGTGGCGTTGGCAGAGGGTGGGTCGCCTGGACATTGCGAGATTCCATCGACTCGTGAGTGGGCAGGGTATGTGAAGCAGCTGCATGATTCAATGTCTCGGGTTCTGCGAAATGAGCTCAAATGTGCCCTGAGGCTCGAAAACTGTCATTGTTGATGCCAGCACGGCCCACCGTGTATCTGACGGCCCAAGCCTCGGTAGGCTGACAGTGCATTGCATGGCTGGTTGGGAAGGGTCACAATGCATGCATAAGGCTGAGTCTTCGGAACAATATACCCGCTGTGGCTTCAGACTCCTACCAATGATCCTTTACTACGTCCCGTCAAAGAGGTTTCTGTTGCGGGAGGAGGTCGCCACAGCAAGAGCTTGCCTCCTGTTTCGCCGGTTCCGGGGGGGGGGCCAAGGGGTCAGGGGGGGGTCCAAGGGCTTCGGTAGGGGGGTCGTGTTGGGGGCTTGCTTGGCAGTTCCAAAGACCAAGGGGTCAGGGAAGGGGTTGCGGCTTGGTTGGCAGTTTTACAGGAGGGGCAAGGGCTCGGGGGGGGGTCCAAGCGCTTCGGTTCCGGGGGGGTAGGTGTAGGGGCACGGGCCCCAGGGACCGGGCGGATCTGCAATATCTACAATAGACCCCTCGTATTCGCCATGCCCATGGCCCTTCTGGAAGATCTCTGTGCATTATTCATGGTTTGCTCCAAGTGGCTTGGCTCTCATTGCACGTGCGTAAAACCCTAATAAATGATAGTTTGCATTTTCTTTTCCATCATCCCTATATAAACCCTTCAGCCCCTAAACCCTAACGTGCAACGCAAGTGGTTTTCCGGGATCCATGCGAGCTTCATAGTACACAATGTGAAAAGTACAGAAACTAATGCGTCTTACAGTGTATTCAGCTTGCGCGGTATTGTGCGTTCGAGGAAAGGAGGGTCATGACTCCACGGAATTTTCTTATAAAATTCCCCGCGCAACCTTGATTGAAGATTATGATTTTGCACGTTTTAGGAGTGCAAAAACCAATGGTTTTGGCACAATGCCAATGAGAAGTGTTACGTTGTACCCTCAGAAAGTGCGAAGGTGCGTAGCCAGATTAAGACCCTGTTCAAAAGTATTGTGTTTTATAGGTCGAAAAGCGTGTACCGCGGGGCGCAATTTTTCTGGTACTTGGATGCACTTGTAAGACAAACGTTTTTATGGTGTGGGCTTGGATGGTCTAGTAATGGGATGCTCTTGAACATGAACTTTGTCGTAGTTTGGGCATGGATGTTCGGGTTATGGGATACTCTCGAACATGAACGCCATTTTGGTTTGGGCAGGGATGCTTTGGTAATCGGATGCTGTCGAACATGAATGCAGTGCTTTTGCATAAAGGTTCCCGAAATACTGCGTTTTACAGGTTAGGATGGCTGTCGCTGAAGGGAACGTAATTCCCCCCCACCCGGGCCCCCAAAATCCAAAAATTTCCAAGCCGAGCCAAACTTGACGCGATCGATGAGACCTGGGCTGTGGGAGAACCCTGTGCCTTGGGCGAACCCTAAACCCTAATCATTGAAAAAAGGCTGGCTCTACGGCTTTCCCGAGATGAGCGCAGAGCAGGCAGAGGGGGCCAATTGTTGTAAGCTTTCTTTTGATCAGTTGTTCTTTGTTCTGTGCTTTCTTGCAGAGCTGCAACTGCTGTGAATTGCCGGTTTCGTGCCCTTTCAACAGTGTAATTTGCAGTATTCGCATTTAAGATTCTCTGCGAAATAGATACCATCAATGGGCTGTTGTTGGCGGGGAGTGTTGAGTTCAGCTAGGAAGTCCAAAAGCACAAGCCAAGCAATCTATGTGGCAAGGAGACTGCAAGATTTCGCGGAGAAATCGAATTGCAGCAGTCCCCTGATACTACTAGACTGGGAAAAAGCCTTTAACAAAGTATTTCAGCACAAATTAATGGAAACGCTAAAAAGGCTACAAGTCCCAGAAAAGATGAGAGACTTGATTCAAAGCTTTTACAAGGATCCACAATTTAAAGTTAGCATGAATGGATGTGACTCATCATGGATGACACAATCAACAGGTATAAGACAGGGCTGTCCTCTCTCACCATATCTTTTCTGTTTGCTAATGGGAGCTTTATTCTCTGACATTAAAGCTGAACTCAACACTCCCCGCCAACAACAGCCCATTGATGGTATCTATTTCGCAGAAATCTTATATGCGGATGACACACTCATGTTCGGAGCAAATACCCAATGTGTGAATGTACTGCTGCATGCCATTGAAAGGCATTCCGAATATTTTGGACTTGCATTAAACTATGACAAGTGCGTGAACATTACCGCAAACCAGAAGCAATCCTCAGTACGGTTCTCCCCCACAGGTCCAACCCAGGGTGCACTAGTGCCAAGAAAGAAAACAGCCACGTACCTCGGCAGCTTGCTTACAGACCTTTGAAAACAGAGCAGAAATCTCTAACAGATTAAGTGATTGTCACCACGTGCAACCGTTTGAAACTGTTTTGTCACAAAGCAAACGCAAGTATTCAATGGAAGATTCAAGTATTCAATGCCATCGTCAGATCAAAGCTTTTGTATAGTATCGAATGTATGCAGCTTACAGATGGCGAATTGTCGAGATTAAATGCATTTCAAAATAAATCTTTGCGTAGGATACTGCACATCCCATCCACATTCATCGACAGGCAACAGACGAACGCAAGCATGTATGAACGGATTAGAAATGAATTTGGCTGTAGGTTTGAGCATTTTGCAGACACATGGCGTAAAACAAAAATTGGGCTGTTGGGCCACATATTACGAGCAAGTATTGCTGATCCTTTAGCCCAAGTAACTTTCAAAGCTGATGGTGTGACACCAAGAACACCTGCGCAAAAAAGACCGGGTAGGCCAAGATTAGACTGGGTTGTTGAAACATACAAAGACGCGTACAGAATGATACGAGGAGCTGATCACATATTTGATGTCAAAAACATGCAGCATTTAAATGAGGTTAAGCAAGCAGCTATCAATCGCCAAGGACCGTTTGCCGTATAACGCTTAAAATTCCCGGGACTCTGTCCCACAGGCCGCTGGCCTCTCGCGGTAGTACTGTGGGTAGTCTCGTTCTACAAGACTTGTACTATACATTGGGAAGCGTGGTGCAATAGTTTTCTCATCATTTCAGGCAGGACTATGCTCTATGGACTCCTCATCAGTATAGTGGTAGCCTGATTAGTTTCACGAATGTACAGCTTTGATACTTCAGCTTGTCATGTTTAGCCTGGTTGGGAGCCCTTCAGTGCTCGCTCGAAAAATTTGCAGTATTCGTAGCCTTTCAAGAACTCCAACTGTTATGCTGTACAGTATTTGTGGCTTTTCAAGAGCTATGAACGCTGTAAGTGCTAGTATTCGTAGTCTTTCAAGAGCCGCGCATGCTGTAATTTGCAGTATTTCTAGCCTTTCACAAGCTTCATAGTCTTTGCGTTTCAGCGTTCGTGGCATTTCAAGAGTTCCAAATGCTGTACTCGCTGGTATTCGTAGCATTTCAAGAGCTGCGAATGCTTTAATCCGAGAACTCTAAATTCTGTAATTTCTCCCAAACTTGTCGCCGCAATTTTTAGACCATCCATGCTTTGCGTAAACGAAGCATCATGTCATCACAATGTTTGCGGTGAGTAAGGGTTCTGCAGATCATTTTGTGTGCTAGTGCGGGGGTTTGTGCCCCCCAACACCCACCACCGCTTTTTTAGACCGTCCATGCTTGCACAAAAAATTACCATCATGTCATCACTATGTTCTTTGCAGTAAGGGAGGGACATGCGGATCATTTTGTTTGCTCATGCAGGGGCGGCGCAAAACGGCGCACGCTGCAACTACTTTCATTATTCCTGCTGCGACGACTACGATTACTACCACCACCACTTCTGCGTTGGTTAGAACTGCTACTTCCATTGGCATGTCCTGACATTTAGCCGTGAAAGAGGCTCTTGCGTGGAACGTCCACACATTTTGGTTTAGAATAAAGCTCTCGTGTGGAGCATCTTCACAGTATGCCTTGAATTCGAGCACTGGAGTGAACATCCTCACATTTTGCCGTGAACTTGAGCTCTCACACGGAGCATACTTGAATTGCGCTTTGGACTCGAGCTCTAGCTCTCGCGTGGAGCTTCCCCATATTTTGCCTAGAAATCGGACTCCGTTTTGGAGAGTCTGCACATTCTGCTTCGGAATCCAGCTTTCGCGAGGAGCGTCCTCACATTTTGCCTCGAAATCGAGCTCTCACGTAGAGCGTACGTCCGTGCTTTGCACATATGGTGAGCTGCTACTCCGGCAGCCCCGCACGCCATTTTGCAATGCAAGCACAATGTTGAGCAATCTTGTCTATATGTGTGCAAGAAGCTACATGCACATGTTTTGCACGTGGGGGACTGAGCCCACACAACCTCCCCCCCCAACACCATTTTGTAAAGCAAGCAGAACGCCAAGAAATTCTATCGAGGGGTATGTTCCGATCCTCGTCTCTGATCCTCGTCTATGTTGTACAAAAGAGGTAGTTGCAAACCCTCCCCCCCCCTGTGCATACAAAATCGAGCTTTTGTGCGGAGTTTGCCCGCATTGGAGACACAACCGCGCAATAGCATCGCATTTTGAAACGCAATCGCGCTCTGGCGTGGGGCCTTCTCGCATCTGAGACAGAATCAAGCTTTTGCTTGGAGCCTTCTCGTATTTTGAGACAGAGCCGCGCTTTCGCACGGAGCCTTTCTAGACTCTAGACAATCCCGCTCTAGCGCGGAGCCTTCTAGCATTTCGAGACGGAATCGCGCTTTATTGTGGGCACGGCAAAACAAAACATACAACTAAAATCAATGAAGTCATGTGAAGCCGCTCAGGCAGAGCACCAGAGCAGGGTGAGGGATGATTCCTTTTACAATACAGGAAAGATGCACTGTAGAACATGTGTAGAACAAGTGTTCATGCTTCTTTTTGATTGTGCAAGGTTCAGGTCGACTTGCATGTTGACCAGCACTAGTTGGTCGGAGGGTTTCTTGCCGTGTACAGTCAGACCTGCCTTCTTGTTGTGATTGCCAGCAGTCCGAAGCTGCATGACAACAGGCAAAGGCCATCTCCACATCTACGCGGATCGCCAACCCGGGTTGCTACCCGACAGGCCGCCGTGCCCTGCAGCATCCGCGGAGCCAAAGCGCAGTAGCCAGCGTGATATGGGCTTTGCAACCAGAGTTGTCTTCCAAAGAAAAACTTGGTTTTGATCCTATCTGCTCAGAGGCAGGACTATCCACGCTGTGGTACCACAAATTCTTTTTGGTTTGCATACGGGTCATGCATGTAGAACAAGCCAGCACACTGTCATGTGATGCGACTGTGAGACTGTCACCCATGCGCATTCATTCCAGGCTGCAGAATTCCTATCGTTTCCCACCTGTGCGCCATGGCCACATCTGTCATTGATAGCACAGCGCTGGCCAGCACAGAGGGCGGCAAAGGAAAAGGCAAACTTCGGCCGCCGCCTCCTCCCAAAGCCAAGGCCAAGCCCAAGGCTACTGCAAATCAAGGATATGAGCCTCAGCAGGCAGCTTGGCTAATCTATGAAAAACTTAAAAGCACGATGTTTTTTAAGAGGTGCGTCAGGTTTCTGATCTTTGTGCCTGGGCCACTGGGCCGTCTCAGGGCAGACATGATGCTGACCAGCAACAGCTGCCTCCCCTGCCAAAGCCTGCAGCTTACGAGGCCCGGCAACCACAGACATGCAGTCGCATGATGTTACACTGTTCACCGGTTGTGGATGAGGCTGGCAGTCTGCTAGTAGCGTTACTGCTGGATGCTGGAAGCGGTTGGAATCATCAGACCAGGCATTGGTTGTCATAGCCAAGCTGCAATGTGAAGATGGTTCTTGGCTGCTTTCAAATGAGCTGGCCGCAGCGCGCCTCAGACTGTACCTATTGCATCCATCCTATTGCATGGGAAGGATAAGCTGGTCTCAACAACGATTGAGCCAAACATTTTTCAGACCTATAGACCTTCTCATCCTTTTGAGGCTGGGCCTGCACCTTGCGCAGTTGGCTTTGTCACCGAAACCTGCGGCCACGGTTGCAAGTTGGGACCGCCTGGTGGCAACGTCCGTAGCTAGACAGGCAGCGACAGCGACTAGACTAGATGAACCCCACGGATGACTGCTGCTTGTTGTCGAGTCATGCTTTAGGACAGTTGGGCATTGAGCTCGGAGGCCCTGGAACGCTGCCGGGCCATTCTAAACTCGAATGGCCACGATCGCGACGAGACCCTGAAGGTATTTTGGCATAGTTTGTGGGCGACGCAGTGTTGCCGGATAAGAGTCCCTCGATGTTTGGGCTGAACGATTCAGAGCAGCTTCAGCTATGCAACTTGCAGGGACGCACGAATCTTTGTGTTGATTGCCAATCTTAAACATCACCACTGTGCATGCATTACCTTAAAGCAGCTGGCCATAGAAGAGAAGGAATCCCAGGTCGCCAGTGCAGCATCTGTCCTGGGCTGCAAGCTCTTGGACGCCGCCCTCGCCTACTTGGATGCCGAGTGGCTGGAGGCCAGCTGCTGGGAAAGTGTTGGCAAAGCCACCTGCTGTGAAACATTGGAGAAGAGATGGCCGATCCGCCACCTTGTTTGTGTGCGCGTGCATGCAGCTGCAGCTGCGTAAGTTTCATGTAAATCCTTGGTAACTCCTATACGTTGGTCTCCGGAGTCAAAGCCCTGGACAGGTTTCTCAGACCAAGCACCTGCGTAGTCTCTATGCTCGGCAGCGGCACACGCTCGACAGAGATGTCAGCAATCTTCTGGACAGCCAGCTGCCAAGACCCGACTGGCAGGCCGGCCGACGAAAACATGCACTATGTATGGGCTCCAGAGACTTTACAACACTTCTGGGCTTCTGGGCTTGAGCATGCAAACGGCAAGGCGCAGCTGAAGGCAAAAATGGCGGTGCAGAAAACCTGCGACGCGGCTTCAATGATTCTGCTGACAACAGAGTTTAAGCACCTGCTGGGATCTTTAAGGGCTGGCAGCTGCTAGCTCGGCCACAGAAGTGGACGGACGGCCTTTCTTGTACATCAGGACAAAATCCTGGCAGGCATAGTCAGCCCAATGTTCACTCGACAAAGTGCCTGAAATCATTTTCCATTATTCCCTGTTTCACTTTCAGAGTCATTCTTGGTAATTTAGCAGCGCTGCACATCCAATCATTGAGGTGAAGTCTGCGGTAGTACCTACACCGGAGCAGCGCCTCGCCTTTAAATCACTTGACCATGGCATATGGTTTGAGAGGGGGCTGTGAGAAAGACGTGAGTACCAGGTCGCAAGATGTGTGGTTTGCTTTCCTCCCGAACGCCCTGCTGAGACGGAAGCTTGCCTCCCGAGTCCAAGGCTTGTAAGCGAGCTTGCTGTAAGTGTGTTCAAGGCTCCATGAGATTCCTGCTTCAAAGTAAGGAAGGGGCAAAAGAGGACAAACTGCTGTGGCAACAGCTCCCCTCGGCCTCCCTAGCAGCAGATCTCGATTGGTCTCAACCTGAAGGCGAGAGCTTTCACGATCAAATGCAAATCTTCTGAGTGGAAGATTACGATATGATGCAGCCCAACCATGAGGTGTATTTGAAGGCTTCAAGCCGAGGGTAGGGGTGGGACAGATCTCAAGGCTACAGATCGCAAGCCTTGCCATTTTCTCCGCTGCCTTGCACCTCTATGCAGAGACGTGTTGCCCAGGTGTGCAACATTGCGAAGGTGGGTCGGGAGGCGTTGCCCTCTTCAAACTGCCTCAGGGAGTAGTGGTGATGAAGCCACAGAACCATGGCAAAAAGCACTGTGGTAGCTGGTGCTCTGGTGTCTCTCATGTAGGAAAAAAGCATTGGAATCTTCGCAGTGGCTGGATTAGTTCGTCAGTGTCTGCCACTCAGGAAGATGACAGCTGCGGCAGAATTCTTAGCCGTCCAGGCGCTGGTGCTGCTGCCAATCTCTGTTATCCTAGTCCAGCCTTGCTAGGGATGGCAATCATTCTTGCGCAGTAGCTTTGCAGGTGGCCAAAGCCATTGCAGTTCCGACCGCTGACATAAGAACCTTGGCGAATGCTCTGTTTAGCTTATGGCGTCCCTATGCTGGGTGGGATTCATTGCAGCATATTGCAGCATGTGGCATAGGAGTGGTCCGCTATGTTGATGCAGAATATGCATCAATTCGCGACCTCTTGTGGTGGCTCGGACCGACTGTACTTGGGATCCTGACGCGGAAACAAGTATGTCTGCACCCAGGAGCGCCGACCCGAATGAGGCCAAGGGGCTGTCAATGCTGAATATCCGATTGCCCCCCGGCCTCAATGCAGGACTTTCTTTGAAGGGCTGGCACGGTTGTAACCTGATCAGATTTGAGCCCATGCACTAGGCAGCATCACAACTGCGAGTTCTTTGGCATTCTGGCTGCTTGTCTTCCCAGCAGTCTAGTTCCCTTTACATGAACGTGCCCGTCACGGATGCTCTGCGAAGACTGCACTGATAGTGCATGCATCACGCTGAGGAATTCATCCCAGGTATCAGTGTGCAGGGCCAAGCGTTGCACGAGCAACTATCAGTGCCTGGACTCGCACTGGTGTATCGTGCTTGGGAAATCTAACCCGGCGACCAAGTATGCAGAGATTAAGTTTATGATTTGGCTTGTAAGAATTGTACCCAAGCCCTAGTTCTTTGCTCCTTCCGAGGCAATGGAGCCCCATCATTTAGATGCCTTCTGGTATCAGGCAGCTTACGGAAAGCCTGAGAGCATGCTGCATGTCCAGATGCCGCAGCAGTTTTTCAGACTTTCGCGCAACTTGGGCATCTTGGGCTCAGGTCAGTGTAAAGAGAGGTGAGAGGATGCTACGGTTGAGCCGTAGCAGAGCTTGCCAAGCCATAAAAACATTATTATGTGTTGACAAGAATCGTGCGGGATACGACGTTGAAACCAATGACAAGAGCCTTGCAACACTCAGATACCTGATTCTCCGTCGCCCGCAGGAAAGGTTGAAGCATGCAGCACGGCTTTCGCATCCAGAAGCGAGAGCATGCCAGAGCAGCATGTCGACACGTTGATAAGCTGACGCGGGCATCGCCAAGAGCTTTGCAGCTCAAAGGAACGTGCAACCCTGTTAGGGGTAAAACTACAGAAATGGACATCGTAAGCCTGCGCTCGCGAGATCTCGCGAGCATTCAGAAGGTCAGAGTAAGATGCTGAAAGAGCAACTCTCCAAGCCGGAGATGGTGTACGGGCAAAGCATTACTATTACAATTACTATTGTTGCTTTATTATTACGATTATTAGTACTAGTACCACTACCGCGATCGTTATTGTGATGGAACACCTGTTTCCAACCTTTTCCTGCTTTTTGTACCGCGCAGGTTGGTGAGATTGTTGCCTTCGATGCGCTGATTAACAATCTTGACCGCGTCCCCTTGCTCTGGGACAATGAGGGTCGAAGCCTTAGGCATTTCCATCAGACTATGGCTGGATATTACAGGATGTGGGATGCAGGCAATCAGAACCAGCAGCCCATGCAAGAATTCCAACCATGCCTCACATCGGCACATTCAAGTGTTCAAGGCGGCATGCGATCTGATATTCACCTTCGATGTTCTGCGCCCAAAACTGTCTGACCAACAAGAGCCAGGTCCCTCCTAAAGTTCGTGGGGCTCAGGCCCCACACCAGCAAACATGAAAAGTTTGAAGACAAAGTAGTTGGAAAGCAAAGCGCCAAAACATGCCTTCAAGAAGAAGCCCAGCATCACATCATAGTGATCATTGCTGCAGATATCATGACCATCAAAACGACTACGACCATTTGCACGATTGGCAGCAGCACCAACTCTGCCTGTACAGCGAAGGCCGGCAATAACGGCTGCCACAATAACAAAACAAGAATCATCCACTCTGCATCCGATGCCGACAGCAAACACTGCTCAGATTGCCTGGAGATGTTGCGTGAACATTTTTGTGTGCATGCGCGGCGGCCATGGTAAAATTTGATAGCTCAGGCAACACGGCCAACCTTATGCTGCGGCAGGACACCAAGGACATCGCTGTCGTTGGTATTGATCATGCGGTCACAGCCATTGTCGCTCAAGGCAGACAAAGTGGATCAACCCAAGACATACGGGACGGGCAGACTTGCAATATCTTGCAAAGCTGCAGGCCCGGGCCGAGACCGGTATGCCGCGCGTCTGCGACGCCTGGCGGAGGGCCTTTTCACAGGAACCTGGGAGGCTGAAACGGAGGCGCTGGACGGGCTTCACAGCAGAATGTTACTGCTATGGTGCTTCAAGCCTCGTGACTAAAGGTGCAGCCAGGGCAAACTCGAGCGGGCACGTGGTCCATTGCTACGGGAATGGCACATGTTTCTGAATGCTTCCAGCGCCCAGGTTGAATTCATCCATACCTCACCCTATCAAACTCCATGCAGCTGCGCACCTGGAGCGTGAGGATGAGCTGTGGCGCTGCAGTCAACTGGCAAGCTTTCATGTCTGGCCTTCGCTTCCGCTTGGGCTTCATCGCAGATCTCGTAGATGTGGCTTTCTGCAAATACATGGCAGGTGTTTCTAGCATACCCCCGCACCAGCAATCCCTGAAGAGATTTCGGAGTTCCTTTCTAAGAATGGTTCTTTGGGCGCGGCGCTGGATGAAGCCACTGCCGCAGCCGACCAGGCATGGCGAATCTAGCAAGACCAAAACAACAGACTGCTGCATAATACATAGCGCTTGCAGAGAGGGCCTCCTCCTCCTCCTTCCTCCTCTGCTGTTAAGATCCTCCCTGCAAGATCTACAGAGCGGCCACCGTGGACGTTGGCTTCCGAGCGCTACCCATGATGCGGGAATTCATGATGGACATGGCGAGCATCATCGCAGAGACAAGGCCGTGTACAAAATGGCATGTCCGGATTGACGAAGTGACTGCACTTCTAGATGAAATAGGTATATGTGTTACACGAGGAAGCTGGCGGCCAAAGAGGATGCCGCTGCCTGACCGTCTGACTATCTGACCATCTGGGGTGGAACGTTGCGGGAGGTGTCGCACTTGGCGCTCGCTCCGTGCAAATTGTATGAAAGCCTGCTTCAAGGAGACATTCAAATTCCACATAGTCCACACATTTGATTTAGTGCAGCGCGGTCTGGGTGTTGATGGCATCCGCCAAATCTTGGGATCACGAGTGGTCCTGCTGGGATTGAGATGAAGACATTCCGTCTTGGGCTCAATCTAGGCAGCAGCGTTTTATTTCCAGTTGTGTATCTTGGCCATCTTGGAGCTGTACATGCTCAGAAGCAGGATCAAGCGCCACGCTCAGGGAGTGTTTTCTGATGGCCCAAGAACTCACAGATGATACTAAACAAACGTGGTAGCTTGACATTGCTTCTTGCTCCATGGCTGTGCACCTGTGCACACGCTTGGCAAACCTGCCTTGTACAGCATTCAATAACATGGATGAAAAGGCTATGACCGTGCTTGGTGTTCGAACCAAACCTTGACGGAAACTACCTAAGCATGAACTGCAACGCACTCGGATCAACTCAATCACTCCGCCCCAAACATGTGGAGGTTTCATTGGCCTAGTTCGGCTGGGCGCCCCAGCAGACTCAGCAGACGGTTTTCTTTCGCATGAGACTGTGTCAAGACTTGGTGTTACTTGTTGGAGAGGCTCGTCTTGTGTGAGGTGAGGTTGAAGGGAGTTCCGCCAATGTCTCGCCCAGGCCACTTGTAGATGCCGGACTGCTGCCATCAGAAGCAGGCCTAGTGGTGCGCGCCCCGCGAAGCTGCTTTGAACCACTCTGCCGTCACATCGCATGGATCAGAACCAGCCAGGTACATGCCGTCAGTGGCTATTCTGGTGGCGGCAAGGCTCTACATTGCACCACAAACCTGAGGTCATGTCAACGTGAGGCATCCTTTGTAAACGCGCCAGTCAAAGCCGCATGAGATTCTTCCCATGGCCACACTCTGACCGAAGTTGCTATGTTCAATTTTCTTGGGATTGTGAGCTGAATGCGGCTGGAGTGGCAGCATTTACGCGCGACTCACAGATAGCACACCTTTGGGCTGGAGGAGCCCGCATTTCAAAAGGTGGTAACTGTACAGTAACGGCGTTGCTCTGCCAGGGTCTTATCAAGACCTATGAGGAGGAGGACCACGAGCCCTGGGGAGCGTTCCCAAGCTTACGATTCAGCATGATGTTAAGAAGAACGAAATTAGACATGCTTTTCGTGAAACGCAGCATGGCAGCCGTTGCTTCTTTCTCGGAGGTACGGCTTCGCGTTGAATCACAAGCACCTACCAGAGATGGCGAAATGGACCGGCCTAGAGGAGGCCAACAGATTGTATCAGCGTTATCATGCGCCCTCCGGCCAACGGCAGGAGCCTATCTTCTGCCCTGCTGTGGGGGACTTCAAGCAAGGCATGGTCGTGTTCCATCCTTGGCGACCTCTTGAGTGGGCGTTTTCAGCCCAAAGTGACTTGTGCCACACAAACGTACTTCCAGGTCTGTTCCCCTGCGCTACTCCCAGCTTCGAGCAGGCATGAAGATGTGTTCACATGCGGCCTGCTCTCAAGGAATTTGCCGTAATAGTCCATCATAATATGCTTACAGGGACCACGGCTGCAGACGTGCATGCCGCAATGGCTGCGCACTACGAGGGAAAGCAGTTTGTGTGCGAGTCTCAGCAACGCAAGAAACGAGTGGACATTTTTCTTTTTTGGTCTGCCAGGTCTGTCAAGCCTTTGAATGACAACGACGGCAGTCCTGGCATGTCAGAGTTTGAGCCTCCCCATTGCTAGCATGCATTGCAGACAAAGTTGCGTTTGCTGCGAGTGCCTGTTCCCTGGGCTGGAGCAGCTTGCAAGCTTTGGCTAACTCTTCAGGCAGGCTGTAGACACTTGCCCAGAACCATCACTGGAACCTACAACTGTTGAGCCGCGCGACTACTGAAAAGCTTTCATCCCTCTAGGCCCGGGCCTCGTGTAGATAAGCAAGCTGGCAAGCTTGCCGCCCTTTTTAGAAGATGCTCACTATCACATGGCCCCGCGCTGTACTACGAGCTCCAAGTCGTTGTGCCGTCGCTGAGGAGTTGGCGGTGGCCTTGGCCTCGGCTACGGATTTCCCAAGACCGTTGTCAGCTGCTTTCCTGAGTCCTGTTTAAGGCTCCGGGAGCCAGGCCATCCGCATGGGTCAAGAAAGCGCCAAGCAGTCACGCGAGAACTTGCTGGACGGCTCCTGGGTGAAAATTACATTGCCTGACTTGGCCAGCACCATTGCTGTATAGGTTCTGTTTATGCCCAAGGTGCTTGCTGGTTCAGCAGCTTTGCAAATCCCTCGTCGGCTCCTTGCGCGGCGGCGTGCTGTGGTGCGGAGCTTACCAGCTAATCGGTTTTTGATTGAATTGGACTGTGGCGTGGGAAGCCCGCTGCAAGTTCATCAAGTTGACTGCGGTCGCTTGACGAACTGGTCTAAGGTTGAAGGCGATGTCCATGCGGTGGCTGTCAAGAAGTGGCTGGATTCCATGATCATTGGCCTCGGCTTCTGCCCATGGGCCAGACCTGCCAGCGAGGCATTCCTGAGAGCTCTGACCACTCGAACGTACAGGGCATTGGGCATTTGGTCATTAATTTTGCCTATTTCTGCCTCACGCAAAGTTCATAAGGTCTGCCCACCAAGCAGAAATCAAGTCAGCCATGCATGCAGGCAGGCGGAATTCGGATCGTTACCAGTCTGGCAGCCACACCGACAGCTGCACTGGAAGACCTGAAAGCCGAAGCCTTGAGGCTACAAGGCCAGCGTCTGTGGACTTACTAGAGGCGTTTCAGGGCATGAAGGTAAGGTGGTGTGTAACGGTGCTCATCCACGCAAGACAATTCTGCTTCCAAATCGGCTTCACTCAACCCATTGGAAATCGTCAAAGCAGACTGCAAAGTTGGGGAGCAAAAGAGGGGAGTAGCTTTGGGATGTCTTGGGGACATGTTTCGCCTGGCAGGAGCTGCCAAAGAGCCTCCACCAGATACCACCGTCACTACTCTGTTGGTTTGTCCTGGCGTGGAACAGTGGGAAGACTTCGCTGATTTCAACGACTTTCGAGAGAATGAGCTGAAGTTGCTGGGCTGCAGCATGCAGTCGTGGTCCAGTTGTCAATCCTCCTTCAACGCCTAACGAGTTGACATCTCTCCCTTTGCTGGCAGTGCCGCGTGCCGCGGAGCTTCCATGCAACTGAGGAATGGTGAGGCGCTGGTGGACGAATTCAACTGCAAGATCGTGTGCTTCCACCCGTACTCTCAGGTACTCTTGCGCCATCTCAGCTGTGGTGTGTCCGGTTTTCAAACAACCATGGATTGCAAGAAGGCTTCAGACAGCTATGGCCTTCAAGAAGGCGATGAGATCGTCATTCGCACAAAGGAGGGTGGGGGGGCCCAGAGATCTGACACTGGGATATTTCCAATGCTATAGAGCTTCCGCAGGTGAGCAACTTTGCGGCTCCATCCTGGGCATGACCCAGGGCGAGGAGGGTGCCAGCAACTTGAGAGTCCAGCCGCCCATCCTGACTAGAAGAAGCTTCCATTCGTTTGAGATCCATGGGCTGATCCCGTCTGTTGATCAACGGATATCCCAGGTTCTATGGCAAAGTGGATGAAGGCAGTGAACTGTTCTGCTAGTGATAGCGTTATCGTGGACCGTGGATCCTCTTTCCGATGCCAGCTCACTCTGGCAGGTGACGCAGAGGACGGCGAGTTTGGTATACAGCCATTTTCGGACTCTGCAGAAGATGTCCGTACAGTTCCAGAAGAAAGTGCGCCTCAGCGAGAAATCTAGCTGCACTTATCTTCGGTAGTTACCTTTGTTTGCAAAGATCAACTGACACACGGAGAAAGGGGAACCCCTGTGGCTTCGGTTTCAACGGATCTTGAATCCCTTAGCCCGCTAATAAGAATAGAACAGTGGCAGTGCATCAGAATAGCAGGGGACAATATGTTTGGCTTGAACTGACATATACCGCACTGACATGAAATGAATTGTGTTGAAACGGGCGACTGGAATGGCCTAAATGTCGCTGCACTACCTGAAAATCTTTGCTGAACACGCACGTCCAAGCGGGAGGAGGAGCGCTAGATGCTAATCCAGAGTACGAACCAATGCACAGCGACCAGAAGTAGTTCAAATATCGCAGGTTCGTAGGCACGGAGTGGGAAGGGGGTCTTGATTGCCCAGGACCAATCCCCCGCCTCTCCTGGCCCCCTGCTTGATGCAAAATCAAAATCAACAGCGACAAAGCAACGTAATGACCCTTGGAATTGGCAATCAGGGCTCACACGCGGATAAAGGTTGTATCGATTGGCTTGCCGTTTCGAGGATCTCCATGCAGGGGGGCCTGCTGGTACATGTTGAAGAACGTCCTAAACATGATCCTAACATGGAAAATGTACACATGTGTTCACCTCTTCCCTGTCATGCACAGCACGCCTGACATGAGCAACATGAAACCATGTACTGTAAGCATCAACCGCACTGCACTTGTCCTTCAAATGGTCGTCACAAGCTGTTCAAAAAGTGGCACTCCGAAAAACTGGCTTCCATTCTGTACATGCAGGTACACAAGAGTGATCAGCTTGCTTCCACTGACTTGCCACAGCTTCGTTAGACCGGATAGGCAAGTCAGCTCCGGCCCTCCTGCACTGACAATTTGAAAATTGCAAGTCTTTTTCACATCCAACATGCCTGCCTTCTACCTTGTCCGAATCAATCTCACACTCCAAACCAAAAGCCCTTAGCTTAGAATCAGGGTGCACGCACACACACAGGGACCTGAATCCGATTGAATCCTCCCTTGCCTCACTGGGTCTTAGTGTTTTGGCCAGTCTTTTGCAATTAGAGGAGGAGAATGCAGGGCCAGAGCTGGGAAGACAGCTGCTCTTGAGATCAGAAAGAGGCGAACGGAACATCACAAACGTCAGCATAACAGTTGGAGGTGCTGCAGCTGCTTGGCCGGGAAGCCTTGCAGGATGAGGCGCTGCAGCATTGGGGAGATATGTTGGACTCCGGTGCAGCGACACCAAGTCTTATGGGGCTGCAAAAGGGCTGATCTACCATCATATAATCACAATATAACCCTAAACCCAAATAACCCCATTATAGTAGTTTCCATTTTTCCGTTATTCCAATATAACCCCAATATAACCCCAACACAACCCTAATACAACCCTAATACAACCCTAGTACAACCCTAATACAACCCTAAAACCCTAATATGAACCCTGCATAGGATGCTTGCCGAAGCATCCTGGGCCGCGCGCCTCGAATCGTTCTTCATCTTCTGCGAGCAGCGGATCTGGAGGCAGAAGTATCATAAGGCTGCTAGGGTTATTTTGGTGCTATATGGGGTTATATTGGGATTATGTTAGATGATATTGCGGTCATATTTGGATTTTTTGGGGTTATACAGAGTCTTCCGTATGCGATTCTCCAAACCGGAAGCCAAAGGCGATATTACTCCATATCTTCAAGCCGTCCGGAATCTAAGAGCCTGCCTAAAACAGATCTTATGGGCACGGCTCGGCATGTGTTCAAGCGTTTAAAAGACATCGCAGGGTTCTGACTCCTCAGAGCAGTCTGCCCGTAATGGCGTCTCGGTTCTCATCTAATTGACACGTTGATCCAGCACGCGCTACATGACTTTGTAGCAGCTGCGCCGAGATCTCGATGATTACCCAGTCGGTACCCGAACCTGTCAGGCTCCAGGTGAGGGACAAAGTAGGTTCAAACTAATGTCGACACCCTCTGCCCAAACTAGTAGGTCTTCCTCACGGCTGCTCATTCTGCATTGTTGGGGTTTAGAAAATGGCTAAATGTAAGTCTTCGACTGACGCTCACCACCTTGCAGAACTCAAACGTAGTTGGAGTTGGAGGCATCACGTCCTAGCCAAATTCATGTGATACTTGTCATGTTTGTGAACTTTGCCTGTGAAAGGCAGTTGACAATCAGCAGGCGGGAGCGCTGTTTCACAGGCTGATTGTGGCCCCGCAGCAGCACAGCCATTTTTGGCTGTCTTTTGAGCTGCTTTGCTCAGGCCTTTGAAACTTTGGAAAGAAATGAGCAGGCCTGGAAAGCTATGCACTCACAGGCACTGAGTAAATTCACGCACTTGCAGAGGTCATCGAGGACATGGGGGAGCAAGAATTCGATCGACGTGTGCACGAGTGCGGTTAAAAAGAGGCAGGCCTGCCAGGACCGGCATGCTTGTACTTGCACCCTAGCTCAGCCCATCTCACAGGAAAATGCTGTGGGCATTTCAAAGCAAGTGGTGCTAAGTGCAAGCTGTCTTGTGCATGCCAGCTCTGGAACGCGGTGCATTCTTGCGACCTGACGCCGTTAACAACACCAACAAGCCTGCAGCCCAGACATTGGAAAGATTGACGTTTCCCTTGCAGGCAGTAAGAGTCTTTCGTTTCTTTCAGTTGGCTTGGTTTACAGAGGTGATTGCGTCGTCAAAATCGGGCGGTTGAGTGCACTTCATGCAATATGTTACTTGTGGCATTGATATGCAAAGGCTGGAGCTGTTCTGCTTTGCCAACGAGGATGCGAGAGCGATGTACTACTGGCTGACATGTGGGCATGCAAGCACTTGGAACTCAACGCCAGACATTGAGGACAAGAAGGCGCTCTGGCTAGCAGCTCGCTTGGACAATTTGGGAAAGGCCGTGGCCGTGCATTTGCTAAGATCTCGCCCATTCTTGATGAAATCGCATCTGCGCAGGGTGCCAGTGGAGCGTGCGTGCAGAACCTGAATTTGGCTCTTGGCTTCCCGGAGGCATTTTGGGGACCTGCCGGAAGATGCACCTTGTGGGTCTCAATGAACAGATTTGGTTCTTCATCCTTGTCCGGAGTGTCCAGCGATGATGCGATCATTCCTTTTCATTCAGCTTTCATGACTTCTTTGCTTGCAGGAGACGGGATTGTGAAAAGCATGCATGTGCTCTTGCCGTACCTTTTGGACAAGCTCGGCTGGAGGCCTAAGCTTGCTGCCCATTTAGCTTTTGATTTTGATTTTGAAGCTTATGAGCTTTGATAAAGCAACTCAAGCTTGAGCAAGGCAATCGTTTTCTGAGAAAATTAGACATTGGTTTGGATTGCGCTTAAGTGTGCATTATATTATTCCCAGGAACGCCCCCGATATTGCAATATACTAGAGTTGACCCGCTGCGTACAGCAGCGGAAAACATTTGCTTGAGAGTACCCGCAAGCAACGTATAAGATCGCACGTGAAGCCCGATGAATAATCAACATATAAGACCGCACGTGACCAAAAACAACCAACCTCTAGATTCTGAAAGATTTTGGATCTCCGCCCCGGGTCTACACGTTGCACCGAGCCGCCGCGCAGACAGCCAAAGAGAGAGAAATGGATCGCAATCTCGGGAGATCTTTGGCCGCGCAACCCCCGCATCCGGCCCGGAAAGATTTTGATTCTCCGTCCCGGGAGTATGCGGTTAGGTCTTTCCCCTCATTTATCTCTCTTGGGCCAGCTGCGCGGCGGCTCGGCGGAGCGTATAAATCTTCGTGCGTAATTACGGCCAACTTGCAAATTCTGAAAGATTTTAGGTCTTCGTCTCGGATTTATGCGCTTTTGCGAATTTTCCGTCGCATTTATCTACCTTGTTCCCCCTACGCAGCTACTCGGGAGAATACGCCTATCACTCTTCATAATCACAATTAATCTATAAATTCGGAAAGATTGGGGTTCTCCGTTTTGGATTTATACGCTCTCCTAATTAATCGCGCAACTAATTCAAGAGAAATAGAATAGGCAGAGGACCGCTCTTGATCTAAAAATCGCACGATAGATAAATATTTATTGAATAGATAAGCAAATAAAGATAGATAGATAAGGATCGATAAATAAATAAATAGAATATAGAGATACTAGAGGGATAATTAGAGGGGTATCAATATAGAGGGAGATAATAATAGATTATGGTTGATAAATAGAGAAAGATATTAATCGAGATCGATAGATGGGGAGATAGAGATTATTAGATAATTATTAAGATATAAATAGATAATCAACTCTCTTGATTTTTTATTCAGATCTTATTCTCAAGAATTTTGATAATTGGATAGATATTTTGGGGGTAGGCTCTTTAGGATTCTTAAATATCGGAGGATTTGAAGTTCTTTGGCAAATCTAGAGGCCCTGGGTCTCTTCGAGCTTTTTTTTTTTTTTTTTCGGACGAGATAATTAGATATTTCGAAGAATTCTGGTCGCGCGATTTTTGCCTTTTAGAATGATTTTCCGCTAGATGAATCTCTTTTT